CGGGAATTTGGGGAAAAAACGGGAATTTGGGGAAAAAACGGGAATTTGGGGTGTGTTTGGGTTACCGGGGTTGGGGGAATTTGGGGATTTTTGGGGAATATTTGGGATTTTTGGGGAATATTTGGGATTTTTGGGACTCCCTCTGCGGGGACCCCGAGCCCGTTCCCAGGTAAAAAAACCCGATTTTGGGAAAAAACGGGAATTTGGGAAAAAAAGGGAATTTGGGGTGTGTTTGGGTTACCGGGATTGGGGGGAATTTGGGGATTTTCAGGGAATATTTGGGATTTTTGGGACTCCCTCCGCGGGGACCCCAAGCCCGTTCCCAGGTAAAAAAAAACGATTTTGGGAAAAAACCCAATTCGGGGAAAAAAAATGGGATTTGGGAAAAAACGGGAATTTGGGGAAAAAACGGGAATTTGGGGTGTGTTTGGGTTACCGGGGTTGGGGGAATTTGGGGATTTTCAGGGAATATTTGGGATTTTTGGGACTCCCTCCGCGGGGACCCCGAGCCCGTTCCCAGGTAAAAAACCACCGATTTTGGGGAAAAAACCCTGATTTGGGGAAAAAACCGGGAATTTTGGGAAAGTTGGGGATGTTTGGGTTTCCGGGATGGGGAATTTGGGGTATTTTGGGGAATATTTGGGATTTTCAGGACTCCAGGACTCCCTCAGGGGGACCCTGAGCCCGTTCCCAGGTGAAAAACCCAAATTTCGGGAAATTTTAAGAATTTTGGGGATGTTGAGGAATTTTTTGGGGTAAATCCCGGCAGATTTGGGAAAATTTTGGGGTAAATCCCAGCAGATTTCAGGAATTTCTCGGGGGTTCTTTTGGGGTAAATGTCAGCAGATTTGGGGAATTTTTTGGGTTCAATCCCAGCAGATTTGGGGAATTTCTTGGGGGGTTTTTTTTTGGGGTTAAATCCTGGTGGATTTGGGGAATTTCTCGGGGATTTTTTTGGGGGGTAAATCCCATCTGATTTGGGGAAATTTCTGGGTTAAATTTTGGCAGATTTGGGTAATTTCTCGGGGGTTTTTTGGGTTAAATCCCGCAGGATTTGGGTAATTTCTCGGGGTAAATCCCTTGGGATGTGGTTAATTTCTGTTTTTTTGGGATGAATCCCCTGGGATGTGGGTAATTTCTGGTTTTTTGGGTTAAATGCCCTGGGATTTGGTTAATCTCTGTTTTTTCGGGGTAAATCCCCTGGGGTGTGGGTAATCTCTGTTTTTTTGGGTTAAATGGTTAATTTCTGGGTTTTTTCGGATAAATCCCCTGGGATGTGGGTCATCTCTGTTTTTTTGGGTTAAATCCCCTGGGATGTGGGTAATTTGTGTGGTTTTTCGGGTTAAATCCCTGGGATTTGCTCAATCCCTGTTTTTTGGGTGTCCCGCAGGTGCCCGCGGGATGTGGTTAATCTCTGTTTTTTGGGTTAAATGGTTAATTTGTGTGGTTTTTTGGGTTAAATCCCGGGATTTGGCCAATCCCTGTTTCTGGGGCCTGCAGGTGCCCGCGGGATGTGGTTAATCTCTGTTTTTTGGGTTAAATCCGCGGGATTTGGCCAATCCCTGTTTTTTTGGGTTAAATGGTTAATTTCTGTGTTTTTTTGGGTTAAATGGTTAATTTCTGTGGTGTTTTTTGGGTTAAATCCCCGGGATTTGGTCAATCCCTGTTTTTCGGGTTAAATGGTTAATTTGTGTGGTTTTTTTGGGTTAAATCCCTGTTTCTGGTCAATCCCGCAGGTGCCCGCGGGATGTGGCCAATCCCTGTTTTTTGGGTTAAATGGTTAATTTGTGTGTTTTTGGGTTAAATCCCTGTTTCTGGTCAATCCCGCAGGTGCCCGCGGGATGTGGTTAATCTCTGTATTTTGGGTTAAATGGTTAATTTCTGTGTTTTGGGGTTAAATCCCTGTTTTTGCTCAATCCTGCAGGTGCCCGCGGGATGTGGTCAATCCCTGTTTTTCGGGTTAAATGGTTAATTTCTGTGTTTTTGGGTTAAATCCCTGTTTCTGGTCGATCCCGCAGGTGCCCGCGGGATGTGGTTAATCTCTGTTTTTTGGGTTAAATGGTTAATTTCTGTGTTTTTGGGTTAAATCCCTGTTTCTGGTCAATCCCGCAGGTGCCCGCGGGATGTGGTTAATCCCTGTTTTTTTGGGTTAAATCCCCGGGATTTGCTCAATCCCTGTTTTTTGGGTTAAATCCCCGGGATTTGCTCAATCCCTGTTTTTCGGGTTAAATGGTTAATTTGTGTGTTTTTGGGTTAAATCCCTGTTTCTGGTCAATCCCGCAGGTGCCCGCGGGATGTGGTTAATCCCTGTTTTTCGGGTTAAATCCCTGTTTTGGGGTTAAATCCCTGTTTCTGGTCAATTCCGCAGGTGCCCCCGGGATTTGCTCAATCCCTGTTTTTTGGGTTAAATCCCTGTTTCTGGTCAATGCCGCAGGTGCCCGCGGGATGTGGTTAATCTCTGTTTTTTGGGTTAAATGGTTAATTTCTGTGTTTTTGGGGTTAAATCCCTGTTTCTGGTCAATCCCGCAGGTGCCCGCGGGATGTGGTTAATCCCTGTTTTTCGGGTTAAATCCCTGTTTTTGGGTTAAATCCCTGTTTCTGGTCGATCCCGCAGGTGCCCGCGGGATTTGGCCAATCCCTGTTTTTTGGGTTAAATGGTCAATCCCTGTGTTTTGGGGTTAAATCCCTGTTTCTGGTCAATCCCGCAGGTGCCCGCGGGATGTGGTTAATCCCTGTTTTTTGGGTTAAATGGTTAATTTCTGTGTTTTTGGGTTAAATCCTCGGGATTTGCTCAATCCCTGTATTTTGGGTTAAATGGTTAATTTCTGTGTTTTGGGTTAAATCCCGGGAATTGTTCAATCCCTGTATTTTGGGTTAAATGGTTAATTTGTGTGGTTTTTTGGGGTTAAATCCCCGTTTCTGGTCGATCCCGCAGGTGCCCGCGGGATTTGCTCAATCCCTGGTTTTCGGGTTAAATCCCTGTTTTTGGGTTAAATCCCTGTTTCTGGTCGATCCCGCAGGTGCCCGCGGGATGTGGTTAATCCCTGTTTTTCGGGTTAAATCCCTGTGTTTTGGGTTAAATGCCTGTTTTTGCTCCATCCCGCAGGTGCCCGCGGGATTTGGCCAATCCCTGTTTTTTTGGGTTAAATCCCCGGGATTTGCTCAATCCCTGTTTTTTGGGTTAAATGGTTAATTTCTGTGTTTTTTGGGGTTAAATGCCTGTTTTTGCTCCATCCCGCAGGTGCCCGCGGGATTTGCTCAATCCCTGTTTTTGGGTGTCCCGCAGGTGCCCGCGGGATGTGGTTAATCCCTGTTTTTCGGGTTAAATCCCTGTTTTTTGGGTTAAATCCCTGTGTTTTGGGTTAAATGCCTGTTTCTGCTCCATCCCGCAGGTGCCCGCGGGATGTGGTTAATCCCTGTTTTTCGGGTTAATTTGTGTGTTTTTGGGTTAAATCCCCGTTTTTGCTCCATCCCGCAGGTGCCCGCGGGCGGCCGAGGCGATCCTGGCGCTGCTGCGGGAGCTGGGGGGGCGCGGGGGGCGCTCGGTGCCGCTGCCCCGCGCCCGCGAGGCGCTGGCGGCGCGCGGCTTCACCCCCGGCCAGCTGGGCGCCGCGCTGGACGAGTACCAGCGCCTGGACGTGCTGCAGCTGGACGCGGCCGGCACCCGCATCACCTTCGTCTGAGAACACCAAAATCCCCAAATCACAACAAAAAATGCGGGGGTTTGGGCAAAACGGAGAAAACCCCGCGAAAAACGGAGAAAATCCCACGAAAAATGGAGAAAATCCCGCAAAAAACGGAGAAAATCACCCAAAAAACGGAGAAAATCCCGCAAAAAATGGAGAAAATCCCACGAAAAACGGAGAAAATGCCACTAAAAATGGAGAAAATGCCACAAAAATCCGGAATTTTGGGGGTTAAAGGAGCTGCAGCTGGACGCGGCCGGCACCCGCATCACCTTCATCTGAGAATCCCAAATCACCCCAAAAAATACGGGGGTTTGGGCAAAACGGCGAAAACCCCGCGAAAAACGGAGAAAATCACCCAAAAAACGGAGAAAATCCCACTAAAAATGGAGAAAATCCCGCAAAAAATGGAGAAAATCCCACGAAAAACGGAGAAAATACCACTAAAAATGGAGAAAATGCCACAAAAATCCGGAATTTTGGGGGTTAAAGGAGCTGCAGGTCAACGCGGCCGGCACCCGCATCACCTTCGTCTGAGAATCCCAAATCACCCCAAAAAATCGGAGATTTTGGGCAAAACGGCGAAAACCCCGCGAAAAACGGAGAAAACCCCGCGAAAAACAGAGAAAATACCACTAAAAATGGAGAAAATCCCACAAAAAATGGAGAAAATCCCACAAAAAATGGAGAAAATCCCACAAAAATCCGGAATTTTGGGGGTTAAAGGAGCTGCAGGTGAACCCGGCCGGCACCCGCATCACCTTCGTCTGAGAACACCCAAAATCCCCAAATCACCCCAAAAAATCCGGGGGTTTGGGCAAAACAGAGAAAACCACGCGAAAAACGGAGAAAATCCCGCAAAAAATGGAGAAAATCCCACTAAAAATGGAGAAAATCACGCAAAAAATGGAGAAAATACCACTAAAAATGGAGAAAAACCCACAAAAATCCGGAATTTTGGGGGTTAAAGGAGCTGCAGGTCAACACGGCCGGCACCCGCATCACCTTCGTCTGAGAACACCAGAAAATCCCAAAATCAACCCAAAAAATCCGAGAGTTTGGGCAAAACAGAGAAAATCCCACAAAAAACAGCGAAAATGCCACAAAAAATGGCCAAAAATCCCACAAAAATCCGGAATTTTGGGGGTTAAAGGAGCCGCAGGTGAACCCGGCTGGGACCCGCATCACCTTCGTCTGAAAAACCCCAAAATTCCCCCAAAAAATCCCAAAAATCCCCCCAAAAAATCCAGGGATTTGGGCAAAACGGTGAAAATTCCAAAAAACCGCCCAAAATCCCCCCAAAAAAGGCCAAAATCCCCCAAAAAAAGGCAAAAACTCCTGCAGAAAGGCCAAAAATCCCGAATTTTGGGGGTTAAAGGAGCTGCAGCTGAGCCCAAAGCCCAGAATTGCAGAAAAAGGCTCAAAATTTAGGGAAAATGGGGAAATCGCCCCAAAAATTCCCCCGGAAGCCCAAAAATCCAAGCAGGGACCCCAACCCCCCCCCAGGTTTTTATTTTTGTGCTTTTTTTGTAGCAATAAATGGATTTTTATCAATAAAAAATTTAAAATTTCTCTATTTTGGGTTTTCTTTGTGCTCCCTCCTCTCGGAACCCTCCTCAAACCCAAAAAGCCCCAAAAATTCCATTTTCCACCCCAAAAATTCCCATTTTCCACCGAGAAAGACCCAAATTCCACCTTAAATTCCCTTGGATTGTAAAAAAACAGCCCCGAATCCTCCAAATTTGGGCTCCCCAAAAATTCCCGGGGGTGAATCCCAAATTCCCGGGGTTTCCTCCATAAAAAAACTCCTAAAAATCAAATTTCTCCACCTCAAACTCCATTTTTTTAACCCAAAACACCCCAAATTCGGGATCCCCCCCCAAATTCCAGAATTTTCCCCAATTTTTGGGGTTCCCGAAGCCCAAAAGACTCAAAACCCCAAAATCTCCTCCTTTGAACCCAATTTTATTGCCCCAAAGCCCCCGGGACGGTTTTGGGGTGATTTGGGGCAGTTTTGGGGCATTTCAGGGCTGGTTTTGGGGCAGTTTTTGGGTTTTTTGGGGCAGTTTTTGGGATGGTTTTTGGGGTGATTTGGGGCAGTTTTGGGTCATTTCAGGGCTGATTTTGGGGCTGTTTTTGGTGCGGTTTTTGGGGCATTTCAGGGCTGTTTTTGGGGTGATTCGGGGCTGTTTTCGGGCAGTTTTTGGGGCTGTTTTTTTGGTTTTTGGGGCTGTTTTTGGGGTGGTTTTGGGGCAGTTTTTGGGGTGATTTCGGGTGATTTTGGGGCTCTCAGAAGAAGAGGCCGCGCATGCGGCGGCCGATGCCCTGGCGGTCGTGGAGGACGTTGGGTTTGAGTTTGTTTTTGGGATTTTGGGGCTGTTTTTGGGGCAGTTTTGGGGCTGTTTTTGGGGCTGTTTTTGGGGCAGTTTTTGGGCGGTTTTGGGGCAGTTTTTGGGGTGATTTCGGGCAGTTTTGGGGCAGTTTTTGGGGTGATTTCGGGCAGTTTTGGGTCTCTAGAAGAAGAGGCCGCGCATGCGGCGGCCGATGCCCTGGCGGTCGTAGAGGACGTTGGGTTTGAGTTTGTTTTTGGGATTTTT